CTGTCTCTCAAGACTTCTCTTCCAGACGGATTTCTTTGAAGAACAGCAGAGCGTACTTCAGCAAACCTCGAAAGAGTTCTACGCTGAGATCCGCACAAGCCTGGCTTCTTTACGTCTCCACAGTCCTGGTCTTAATTAAGCCGAATAAACCGCGCAGACCTTGTTCCAGATCGACGCAAATGCAAATGGCTTAAAAATAGATCTCTCGTCCCAACACAATACATACAGGGGATTGCAGTTTACAATTATATTCCTTCCCCAACTGTAACAGACCACTTGTTTACTGATCCTGTTTGCACAAATTAAGATGAGAAAGCAAACATGACCAGCAGCCTGTTGACCTACTAGACTGATCGGAATTAATGAGAATCCTCCTGCCAATTCCACTCAAGTACCTACAATCCTCCATTCATCCTCATGATTGTGTGCGAGGCCTGTATTTGCTCTTAATTCTCATTTCAAACTCATCACTCGACATCTTACCGCCAATTTTCTGTTAATATAAATAACATTTTGATGATTTGTTATTGGCCGGATGATGTTTTTAGCTATTTTGTCATCACAGTTACAAAGGAAAATGAAAATGTCAAAAAAAAAAAAACGGAAAACGCTATTCATTCCAACGTTAGCCTTAACAGAGTAATAGTGACTAAAATGAACGCCTGAATCTAAAGATGGGCCAATAAGCGTAGGACGAGGATTTGAAAAATGAATACATAAATAAACACGTTAGAAACAACTGTGGGTGTATTATTATCTATTTCCAAAAGCTTAATTCCAGTCAAGTGACGCCAACCAAATGACTCACTCTAATACCATCACACATCTTTTACCCTTTCGTACGCAACATGTGACTGTGACTGGTTCATTAGATCAGATAAGAATCTATGGCTGTGTTTTCTCGAACATCTATTAGCCTCATAAACCAAACAAGACCAACAGCAGTGCTGTTTTCCAGAGTGCATCACAGAGAATTGTTTTATTCTCAAGCGTGGCTCTGCTCCAAGCAGACGCATGCTCTCTCGTTACCGCAGCGTTTGCATGCGTTTTGCCTGTTTGTGCTCAGATTGTAATGCGGCCTGATGCTTCGCTGAGCATCTACGGTTTCCAGCTAAAGTCAGACATGGTCAACTTCAGCTTTAATGCAAGTGGAAATTTCCATCTCCGTGGTGCGCTGTGCACTGGGATGCCACATTTAGCACTGTTAGATATGCTGACATCCTGCCAATAACGCCAAAAATATTAGGTCGAGTCTCCATGTCAAGAATATTAGATCCAACCCCAGACAACACCGGAAAATATCCCCTTTTGTGCTGGTACCCAAAACCCATCAACATAATTTTGTCTGGTACCAAAATAAGTGTTTTAGTACATTTCGTCTTGTATCAACAGTCTTCTATCAGCCCAAAATGAAGATAGAGGACACCAGGGAAGAGCAGAAATCAGAAACAAAGGTTGAATGAGCAGAGAATAATATTAGTTCTGTCAGGACCACTATCGTCAAAATAACTGACACTTAGCATACAGTTTGGATTGGTGGTATGGTTCTGTTCTGGGTAAATGCTGGGTAAAAAGCAGCAATAACCCCCTTAAGGTTAACAGAACAGAACTAAAATGTAGCATCATTACTGTTATCATTAATGTTCTTAATGACATTTTAGTGTAACAACGTTATTCAAGATAAAAGGAGTCTGTTTCAGGAAACAAGGAATATCAGAAAGCCAAGTCCTGACTGTGATGAAAGGAGGAGCTGGGGATGGAGGAGGGTAATTTGCTCCTAAGCAAGTAATAAAGCTGCTGAATAATACTGGATAGACCTTAGGAAAGATGTGACAGGCATTGTATTGCTATAGGTAGATGTGGATCAGCTGAGAGTCAGCAGATGCAAGCTTTACTCACGTGACCTGCCAGAACTAACGCTACGCTTGATTTGTGTCTGTTTCACTGCTCAGTCAAACTTTGTCTGACCAGCACAAATCCACCAAGTGTTTTAATACTAAAGCAAAAGCAATGGAAAATTACTGCTTCAAAACACTGTCCTATGATGTAAAAAAAAACTTGAAATGAACCTTGAAAGACATCTCTAATCTCTTACTCATGAAGACAAATATCCCTTGAAACCACACAGCCATAGGATTGAACAACAATGAAAAAATAATATAAAATAACTGATCCATGTATGAATCAGTGAAACGATTATATAAACCCATTCAAAATACTTATTTGATGCTGTTCACTTTATTTAAACAATTCAAACAAATAACAGTTTTCTTGTTTAAACAAGATTGCATCATGCAACTGATTTGAAAAGTTATTCTTTGGCTTAACGTTGTTTTCATTTTGAAAGAAGATGTTTCAATCAAGTAGCTCAAAATTATACACTTCCCATCATGCATTGCACAGGGCTAGACAGAGAGAGTAAATGTTAAAATAAAGTGTTAAATAAATAGCGAGACTTGTTAATGTTTAATGTACTATTAAGTTGGTATTATAGCAAAATATTTTCTGTTATGTTGGTGTTTTTGGGTGAGTTACCATTGTGATGAACTGTCTAGCATATGCTTGGGTTGTGAACCTTTTTACAAGAATTCAAGTTGCCTTAATAAAAATATCAACTCCACTGGTAGTGCTAAAGATAATCAGCAGCATCTTCATACTGCCAACATCTAACATCATATGTGTAAAAAAAAGTTATATTTAGCTTGCTAGTATGTTATTATAAGTGTTTGGCTGAACTTGATTAAATCATGAACAGTGATTCCAGTCTACTCAAATACTAATTAACAAAAGCGAATGATTTGATTCAATTATTTCCAAATAATTTGATCCAAGTGTGTGGAACCATTGGCCATGATAGAATCAAGAGTTTTTGTTTTATTATTATTTTTTGGATGGTTAAATTATTATTATAAATGGTTATATGATTAATTGGAATAAGTAAATGATTAAATTATAAATGATTCTAAATGAATGAACATTTTAACATTTTCTATTAATTATGATGCAATTAACAATTCATTTTCCACAAATTTAATTACTTAACCAAAATGATGCATTTCGAATTCAACAAATGATTCGACTAGGAAGAACACATTTGTAGTGCCATTTCTCCTATCATTAGTCAGTCGCAAAGTTTCTTCATGCAGTCAACTGTGGGGGCTTCATGATTACAAATGTCTCTTGCCAAAATGTGTCTCAGACACAGAGGAGACTGATGGCTTTAATATCACTTCCACCAGCTCAATTTGTACCAGGATGCCTATGAAATGGCCAGTCTAATCTCATTTCGCCAAACCACAGTGTTTTATTGGCTCCCGGTCAAACTTTATGTGGGCAGCACTCTGTTTGGTTGTCAAGAGTGTGCGAATGAAGCTTTGTTCGCCTACTCTCGTGTCTTTATCTAAAGGACGTGGAGAATTATAAACAATTCTCTTCGGTTATGAAAACAAAAATGTGTCAGAGAGGCTCTCAACTTTAATAAAATTAAGTCGTGGACACCGCTTGTGCTCGCGTTAACTGGAGCAAGCTATTTGCATACTGTTGGAAAATCATTCAGATGCACCTGGTTGAGTGACTTCTCCTAAATGAAGCAAAAGTCTCTGTTTTGCATATTTAGAATTTGACCTCCCACGCAGACACAATGATTTGTTGTTGTAATGTGTTTACCCTGTCCACATATGTGACATACATAACCTGGGCATGGTCCAATCATTGTTTCTGATTTCAATACCACAGTTAAATTTGTATCTGCAAACTCAAAGCTGAAGAAATAGGTCTAAGCTTGACAAATAAGCTCACTGGAAATCATTGGACCAAACTGAGAGCGTAATAAATTAAGGAGAACGTTGTCAGCAGCACTGAGACGTTCTGCTGAATGGAAGGTGTAGCTGTGCAGAAAACCACCCAAAAATCCATTCCGGAGATTTATTTTCCATGTTGTGTTGCAGGAAATTTGTGTCCTCATTTATTTGAATTGTAAATCTGGGCCAGACGTTATTTGTGGTGTAGTTCCCAAATCAGAAATGATGAGGAGATGTAGGCTACATATGCGAAAACACATGCCATTCGCATAAACACAGCATTATGTTAAAATCGTGTCTGAAAAATTTGTCTGACCAGCTAGCAAGTCTTAGACCAATTTATGCTAAAACTTAATTACAAGGTCATCATAAGGTCCATTCACTATAAGCATAATAATAAAAAAAAAATAAAAAAATTTGAATAGGAGAAAAATGTAAAATTAGAATATTAGAAAAAAAGAATAGGAGTATAAAATATACAATTATGCAGAAATTAACAATTGATCTTCTACAAATTCAATTACTTAATCACTAATTAGATCAATAGTTTTTATGCAAAAAAGTTATAGTCAGTCTTAAGACTTTTTCACACAAAGGACTTTAACTATAATGATTATGATAAAGATAGTTTTAAACATGTTATGAGAACAGGGAAGTTCACACCACAACTATAAATTGATAAACAACACAAGTATAAGCTATAACCCTGATAAACAATAAAAACTTTGACAGCCAATCAGAATCTACTCAACTTTAAAAAGTTTGAGCACTTAAACTAGCAGGCGACATAATTCGTCCGTTGATGTAACACGATATTTTATAAGACAGAAAACAAAAACAGCACTAGATGAGGCGAGTATTTGCCTACAGCCCATTGTAGGAAACAAAACAGCAAAAATAGCAAATATGTGCTATTATTTGTCAAGCACAATGCAGTAAAAACTTAATTGCAAATGCAGCTTGTGAACAACAATTTATATGAATTTATATTAAAAAAGATTATGGCAGGCATGTGCCCCAGTATTGATGAAATGTCAGAAAAGCAGCTGGACACTAATATCTTTATTTTTATAGTTCACTTTATAGTTAGCGTTCTTGAAGTTCTTGAACAGCCTTCAGATGACTAACTTATATTACTAGTCTCAGCAGTTCCCACTGATGTCTTCATTTGAATTCGTGCTTGTGTGTCTGGGGTCATACCTGTATTGTAGGTGGAGTGCGGTGTTTTCTCGTGGTGGTGGTGGACATGGTGGTGGTGGTCTCGATAAAGGTGGTGGACATCTCCGGGGGGAGGGCCGTGGATCTGGCTGAACCTGCGGAGGGAACCTCCCCCACCAGGCGGACGCTGCCATTGATTTTGATGTTAGGGTTACCCTGAGCAGCCATGTTGAGCACTTTAAGGCCGTTGTAGTAGAGTCCGGAGAGTTGGCCCTGAAATGGCCTCTTGCGGTCTGAACCACCAATTCTTATCGTGGCCTGGGTGTTGAATATCGTTAACTGCCGCCCTGAGGATGCAAGAAAGATCCAGAACATTTCATGTTTATGGGTCAGTATAAGAGCACAAAATATCTTGTTCGGCAACAAGATTCATGTCTCTTTTAGGCACTTAACCTACACAACCAAAGTACAATGACTTAGATGGTTGTGCTGGATCACTATGGCTTAATTTTCTTCCGAAATGCTCAGGGTTATACTACCATGAGACACGTCGTAAACATTTGGAGGGCCAGACTATAAACCAGACCCATTATGTCTCCCTGAATGAGTCTAGCTACAAGCTCATGATGGCTGCAGTAAGTTTTACTATAATTGCCTCTATGAAGAGAGATCACCCATACTATTAAAATAGAAAATGTCTTATGACTGGCATATGAATGCATTCTGAGATAAGAGAAAGATTAACATGATAGAGTCATTCTTACTGTATTCTAAATGTCTTGGTTATAAACACATGGTATAACGTACAAATCACTGATTCGTGGAACATAAAATATATATATAAAAAAATAATAATTATTATTTGGGATACATTTTGATATAGTAAAATATTGTATTTAAGATAATTTTGATAAAATGAAAGAGAAAATAAAAGGATTATTTGTGCTGAGAACATTCTAGCAATTATCTCTGAATAATATTAAAGCAGAATTGTTGCTACTTTCAAAACTAGTGACAGATGAAATGTTTTCAAACATGTTTTGTCATATGTCTCAAGAATCAGTGAAAATAATAGACAAAATATTCTGTGGTTGTGAATAAAAGCTTTGCAGCATGACACAGATCATAATTCAGAAAGAAAATGAAGTAAATAAATAAACAATTTCTGATTTAAATGAGTCCAGAAATCATCACTTCATGACTTCATGAGTAATTCCAGTGATTATAATGACGAGGGCTCCTGATGATATGCAATTAATGTCTGAAACAATAATCATGCTGGTGTTTTCTTCTCGGATGATACTTCCTCTGCAGCCACAAGCTGCTGCCTGCAACAGCGCTTGTATTTCACTAAACCTTGTCTGCCCACCTTCCTTTATATCAGCCAGAAAGTCAAGTGAAATTTATGTTTAAGTTAATTTGTTTTAATGTTTACATTTAAAACATTCATAAAAGGTTTACTAGGCCAATATTGAACCATTAAACAATGTATGTATTATTTAGTCTGTCTTTAAGATCAATACAAAGATCAACGAGCATTGAAAAGGCAAAAGAAAAGCAAAAATGTAATGGGTGCAACACAATATACAATATAATTATTTATCTATATATTATAAATAAGTCAATTTAACTAAAGAAAATGGTAAAATCTATAAATATTAAAATAAAAAAATAAAAATAAATTAAAAAGGAGGAAGTTACCTTTCTCCTGAAGCCATTCCTCTACGGGCCGGGCATATTTGAAAGGAATTTTCTTATTGGCCATTTGAATTCTCTCATTATCGCTGTTACCTTGGAAGTTTAAAAGACATATTTAAGAATCAATAATCACGGTTAAAATACTCATAATTACATTTCCTGTCAATATTTTATATTTTAAGTTATTTAAACACTTTTAGAAGAGTTTAGTTATGTAAATTTATGTCCTTTTTTTTTTTTTAAAGCTGTTTGTATTCGTAGTCAGTTAATTTTCTTTTTTTTTCTCCAGTAATGAAACACTATTTAAACTGCATGTCTACTCCATCTTGTCTCGTAATTATATCAATCAACACCAGAGTTGATAAAAACATATTTATAATAAATTGAATGAATGCCAGCAGATTAGCTGCCTGCGGTCAATCCATCTATCCATCAAAAGATGACAGCATACACTCTTTCATGCTTCACATACTTATAATTATATACACATTTATCTGCTGACTGCTAATGATGCCGGTCAATATTTACAATTTTTCACACAGAAAACCACATCAATAGTCATAATCATACAGCACCATTGACAAACAAGAACTAGACAGCAGCTGCTTCTGTTTTCCAAAGCCACGGAAATTATATAGTAGTGAAATCATGTTTGATGAATGAGCTGGAACCGATGGGATGCAAAAGCGAGGCGCGGGCCTCCACTCATTAGATGCGTCTGGGGATGTTTGTTTTAATGGCAAGCCCAAAGAGCCATGCTGATATTCCATGTGACTGTGGGCTCGTGGAGACGCAGCAGGAAGCTGATCAGAGGGGGTTCTGGATGTCATTTGAGGACAGGGGGCCGCAACGACGTGCTGCTATGACAATGACTTTGAGTGCTAAGGGTGGCACAACATTGCAGGATGTTGTGTGAGCCAAATTTCAGGACTCCAAGGAGGGGTGTACCAGGGGGCCAGCCTAAAGGGAGCCTCCATCATTGGCAGAGCTGTCTTCAGACAGCAGGAAGCACAACCAATACCCTCAAAACCCGGGAATTTGAGTCACACACTTCTGAGGCCCAACCGCTTGGAGGTAGAGGAATGTCAACTAACAAAACAAAACAAAAGTTTTATGTTGCACAAAAGGGAAGAATGAGTTCTGAGACAACTCTACTAGCAACTGTACCTTCTTTAGTGATATGCAGAAGACAGAATGTCATGCAGTACTGGAACAACAAGTAAATTAGGGCTGCATGACGTATCGGAATGTAGTTTACTGCAATATGACTTAATGCGATAGACATCGCAAAGGCTGTGATTTAGTTAAATAAATATATACCTACCCATTTCGAGTGAAAACAAATATACAGTATGTCATGCATATATTTATTTGATGGCATTCCATCAAAAAACCCTGATGGCTTAATGTTTACAAAAAAAAAGAAAAATAAATTAAGACATAAATATCAGTATTGTAATTTTACAGTGTACTATACAGAACTAAAACGTCAAATGAAATTAGAACTAAACCCATAAAAAAAATTAAATAATGTTTTACTAACTGATATTTTTAATTTTATGGTTCACTTTATAGTTACTGAAAAAACATTATGTAAAGCATGTGCCCAAGTGTGAACACCTGTTTTCCCTTTTTTATCATTTAGAGCTAAAAAGATGGTTCAGAACATGGAAAGAAGTCTTCAAAGTAAAAAGTAATTACATTTTCTTTCTTTCTTTCTTTTTTATTTTCTATGCAGATGCACTGCCCAACAAAATTACCCTAATCATTCTAGATTCAAAATATAGTTATTCAAGTCATCTGCTGGAAATTCCTGTTTTTTTATATTGCACTATTTATTGCAGAACAAAAATGACTGAAACAACAGTTTTATCCAGTATTGTGCAGCCACAGAGTAAATGACACACAAATGACACTGTCTCTTTAATGGGGTACTGTCGGAGTAACCCTAGTTAAAGCCACCCGTGTGACCTAACCTGCAATCCTTGTGTTACAAGTACAGACACTTAACCATGTGGCAGCACCGCAGACAGATGTTGCAGGTGTCTAGCAGGGGACGCAAACACTGGACGTGTGGGAGGGCAGTGGGACAAGAAGAGAGCAGATGGAGAGAACGAATGGGATGCTTATTATCAGATGAAAAGAGAGAGTACAGCCGACTGAGGCCATGACCTCTCTCAAATTCACACGCACCACACACATAGCTTTTTCCCCATTCCCTCCTATTATATTCCCAAGTCCCAAATTCAGTTTTACCCTGGTAAAGAATGTGTTGTGCTCTAAATAGATCCTCAAGAGAGGCATTGTCAACTGCTATCATTCTAAGCTCTGCTGAGGTGTTAGTGGTGGCACTACAGGGTAGTCTGGTGGAAACTCATTACAGATGGGCTCATCCAGAGCTTTGGCTCTGTTATAGACATCACAACACTGGATCCTAAAAATAAACCTCATATACAGACAGTTTAAAGGAATATTTAATCCAAAGATTACAATTCTGTCATCATGTACTCACCTGCAAGTTGTTTTCAAATCTGTTTTCTTGAAAAATAGTTGAAACAATAAAAGTAAATGGGGTCCAAAACAACATTGGGCCAGTATTTTTATCATGAAAGGGCACCTATTATGCAAAATCCACTTTTATATGGTGTTTGGACTTAAATGTGTGTTGGCAGTGTGTGAACACAACCACCCTACAATGATAAAAATCCACCCTCTCATTTTTTAAACCAAGTCAGTCTCACAAGGCCTTTTTGAGTCACATTGCGTCACATTGCATAGGGCCGGTGTTCTGACAAATAATGCTACCAATCAGATTATGCTACCAACACTGTATTTAGGGTTGGGGTAGGTGTACATGCTAATAAAGCCTCACACCTTATTAATATCATGCTGGAAGCAAAATCTGATTGGTAGCACTTTTCGCTATCGAATTATGCTACCATCTGTTTTAATGGGAGGTAGCAAAATCTGACAGGGTAGCACAAATCGTCAGAACACCGGGCCACGGAGTTGATTGACAGCTCTGCATTGCTATAGTTTCCGCCCTCCGCGGTTGTATGCTGTCCTCCATTTTTTCTGCGCTCGAGCAGCTGTAACATCAACAATGTCTCGCAAGCAATCCCGATGCTCTGTGTTTGGATGTAAGACTGAACATAAGTCTTAATTTTCTCCCAACATCTGAGCTGATGAGGACGCTGTGGATTACTTTCATTTTTCAAGGTAATGCGCCTCAAAATCTATCTAAATGCATGTATCACTCCAGACTCCTTTGTGAATGTCATGTCATTATAGTGCTTAGCATTTTAACTGTATTTGTGTGCGTACATTAAGTATTTTTTAACTGACTTGTGAGATTAGTTTGCACCGTTCGTAGCGCGAGATTCGTTCGGTAGTGTGGTCGCGCGGCTCGGTCCATTGATTTGTGTAAGATCGCGCTGTTTCGTCCCACTTTCATTGTATTTGACTTCCCATATGTATGGCTAAATATGTTGCTTCTTCCGGCTGTTTATTGCTGTAGATATGCAATGCAGAGAGACGTATATGTGACGCCCTTTTCTGGAGACGGGGCGGGAATATGCAGCTCATTTGCATTTAAAGCGATACACTCCAAAACAGCTCTTTTTTTAGACACACCCCAAAAATGACATTTTCCAGCTGTTATAATACATTACCTGTTGGGTATTTTGGGCTGAAACTACACAGACACATTCTGGGGACACCCAAGACCAATATTACATCTAGTAAAAAAGGGGCATAATAGGTGCCCTTTAACTAAAACTATTAAAATTATTTTTGTTAACTGAAATAAAGCTGAAAATAAATATTTACTAAATAAATATTAGATGAAAAAAACATGAATTGCTAAAATTGCTAAAACTGAAAGTATGAATTATAAAATAAGTAACATATGTTATATATTTAAAAAAAGGATAAGAATGAAAAAAGCACATAACAACATTACTAAAACAAATTAATAAAATACAATATAAATATTAAATGAAAAATTAATACTTAAAAATTTTTTTTTTTAAACTACAAATTTTACTAATTACTAAATTATTATTAATACTATTTTTAATTACTAAAATGACTAATACTGAAATTATGAATCAAGTAAGTTTTATTTAAAAAAAAATGACAAAGCACATAAAATTACTAAAACAAATGAATAAAATACAATAAAAATATTAAATAAAAAAACAAAATGACTAAATTTGACTAATTAATAAAAAAATATTTTTAATAGTACTTAAAATTAAATGAGTAACATTACTAAACCTAAAATAATGATACATTAATTAATATAAGTTACATTTAAAAAAGCACAACCAAATTACTAAAATAAAAACCAAAAATATTAAATAAAAGCTGATTCAAAAAATATGAAGTACTATAATAGTATATAAATAATTCTAAAGTAACACTGCATTGGACCCCATTTATTTTTATTACATAGACAAAAACACTGAGATCTATTTTAAAATATCTGAACTGTGGTGTGTGAGAGATGAAGGCTCAAGCTCAGCCTGAATTGTGCCCCAATTCTGTTTTCTTCTCTCCTTTTCATGCCTATCTAAGCATTACACAAACCAAATGATTTTATATTCAAAACCAAAAATGTAAAATATTTTAGGAGCTTTGTTGCCATTTTTCAGGACAGTGTGGTTAGGGATGGAGGACTGCCTGGTACATAGACATTTGTGGATTTGTGCTGCTTTGATCCAGCAGTACAGAGGGCATGACACCTTTTCTCACTCCTGAGAACATGAAAGGCTCTTTGAAAATGAAACAGCATTAGGAGGTGTTAACATGGCACAGGATCACACGCTGCGGGGGAGTTTTCCTCATACTGTGATTAAGTTTCACAAACACATACAAGAATGTGAGATATCTGTGCATTTGAATTCCCTTTAATTCTAAATTCAAGTAACCCTTAATGGCTCTGCGGTACCACGAGCGCATGCCAAAGAAACCCTAAACTGCTGCCACATTTAAAATGTATGAGATATTTAATAGAAATTGTTATATTTTTGTATAATTAGACGTGATAAGTGCGGCTCTCTCTCTGTGGAAAAGGCTGCTAATAACAACAA